AACACAGATTGCTGGGCCTTACCTCAGAACCTCTGATTCAGTAGGTGGGGCCAGACGACTTGCATTTCTAACAAATTCCCAGGGACACAACAGCTGCTGGTCTGGGGGACACACTTTGAAAACCACTTGTCCAGTGATCTTTTCACCTTTGCTCATCAGCCCAGGTGCAGGTCTCATGACTGACTAGAAGGCTGGATTGAGTCAGAGTTAATGGTTTGTTCCTTAATTGCCAGGATGTACATTTATTTCACTGAAAGCATCTGTCAGTTCTTTGCTCAAACTCAGCTTTCCTCTTTTTATGTTTCAATGTTCACATTAGCATGGTAATGAGCTATTTGGTGTGATGCTGCAGCCCAGCAGCTAGCAAAGTGAAAATCCTGGGGAATGAAAGTGTCTCCAGCTTGCAGAGAACATCCCACACTTTAGAGTGCTTGACGAACACGGCCTCTAGTTCTCAGCTCAGATCGTTAGATTTCTCTTGTTCTTTACATTTAACACAGTTGTACCCATTTTAAGAAAAATGCAAGTGTTTGAGAAGCAAATTGGGAGCCCACTTGCCTTTGTGTAAAAACTTCCCATAATTAAAGGAAGCACGTGCTGTGCTGACCGTGGGAGGGTACTTTGGAGCTCACCACCCGCCTCCCTCCGCAGAATCTCGCAGCTGTTAAAGGCAGAGGAGGGAACTCTCTGTTACACGAATGCAGATGAGGCTCCCTCTGTTTGGATGAAGTTGAACTGGGTCCTGAGGCACACTGAGTCCAGGGCTGGATTTCGTTTCCATGCGGAGCTTGGTGTTCTGGGGCAGTGGCTACTTGAACTTTATTGTGCACATGAATCAGTTAAAATGCAAATGCTGATTCGAAAGCTCAGAATAGGGCCCAAGAGCCTGCATTTCCAACCAGCTCCAGGGAGATGACAATGCTGCCATCTCTGACACCGGGAACTCGACCCATGGCCTCTTTAGAAGTGCCTGGAGATGGAGGTGGACTTTATTTAAAGTAGTCCTGGTATGGACCTAGGAACCTGGGCATGCTTTAGAAAGTGAAACCTTTAATCTTCAAAAGTGATGCAATTAGTGGGCCCCAAGTGTGACCAAATGTTTAGTCAGTGAACAACCTCATGTACTGAGTACAAGGTTTATGAGAGACCGAGATTTATGAGAGCCCCCGTGTCAGCTCCCCTGGGTTAAGGGATTCCTCTTAATGCACAGGTCGCCACAGCCCATCACCCCCATTAGCCTGTGAACCCCTGAGACACGGTGACTGAGTTTAATGTTCCCCGCAGCCCTGATGGGGGGCTCAGAGCTCAGTGAGTGTGCGTCGCTCGAAGGAACCGGCATATTTGACAGTGCTTTCCTTGTGGCTAATGAAGCCCATTACTAGGTGTTCAGTCCACTCTGACACATCTTAAAAATGGGATGGGGGAGCCATTGGGGTGGGGGGTTTAAGCAGAGCAGAGATATACTTTGACTTCCATTTTACCCAAAATTCTCTGGTTGCTGTATTGAGAATGAACTGCAGGGAGATAAGAGTGAAGCAGGCGTGAACGACGGCAGCTTGAATGTGAGCCGTGATGGTGGTGAGAACTGGGCAGATTCTGGGTATCGTTAGCAGGTGGAGTCAGGATTTGCTGGCAGATTGGACATGAGATGCAAGAGAAATAGAGGCATGAAGGACAAGGCTTTTGGCATGAGTAACGGGAAGCATGGGGTTGCCGTTAAGTGAGCTGGGGAAGGCTATGGGTGGAGCAGGTGCGGGAGGGTGTAAATCAGGAATTCTGTTTCCGACATATTAACTCTGAGACACTGTACCCGAGACATCTGAGTGGAGACGTCAAGTCGGCAGTTAGACAGGAGTGGGGTTTGGGAGCGTTTCAAGCTGGAGATACGCAACTGGGAGCCACCGGCACACGAAAGGCATCTGTCTCGAGACTGGGTGAGATCATCAAGAAGTGTCCAGGCAGGGAGGAGCTCTCAGGGGCTGCAGAGTTATCAGGGTAGGTGTTAGAGGAGGAGCCAGCAAAGGGGACTAAGAGTGACCAGTGAGGGAGGAAAACCAAGAGATGGCAGCATCTTAGAAGCCAATGGAAGGAAGTTTAACAGGGAAGAGGGAGTGCTTGTGTAAATGCTTCAGGGAAGTCAAGTATGAGAAGACTGAGAGCCACACTGAATTTAGCCAGATGGAGGCCAGTGGTGACTTTGGGAACTGTGGTGGTGGCAGAGTGGCAAGTGAACACTCATTTGGAGCAGTTTAAAGAGAAAGGAAAGAGAGGAATTCATGACAGTGAGTACAGAGTACTCATTTAAGACAGTTGCCTATAAAAGATAGCAGAGAAGCAAGTGGTATCTGGCAGAGGAAGTGCCTCTGCCAAAACAAAAAAAGGTTTTGTTCTCGTTTAAGGTGAGAAAGATCCAGTAGAGGGAAAAACTGATGTTCAGGAGAGGGGTGAAGTGCCCCACGAATGTCCTGGTGTGTTCTGGGGTGCAGGGGAAGAGCTTGCTTTAGCCAGGAGTGTGGAGGGTTCCTCTGTAACAACCAAGCCGGTGAGTGGGGGAAGGAGGTAGGGAGGAGTCTGGAAATCCTGTCCAGCTGCCTTCAACTTCCTCAGTGATGGAGGAAGCGTCATCTGAGAGTGAGGGAGATTTGACACGCACAAAGAAGGCAATGTGAGCATGGAAAATTGAGAGACTTGAAGATACTGGCCTTGAGGATTGGAGTGAGGGGCCACAAGCCAAGGAATGCCAGAAGCTGGGAGAAGCAAGGAGCAGCTTCTCCCCTGGAGCCTCCAGAGAGAGAGCAGAGCAGCCCGGCTGACACCTTGATGTCAGCTCAGTGACCCTGAGTTTGGACTTCTGGTCTCTAGAACTGTGAGAGGATACATTTCTGTTTAAGCCACTAAGTTTGTGGTAATTTGTTACAACAGCCACAGGAAACTAACATAGGACTAGGAAAAAAGAAACTATCAGAAGACCCCTTGCCCTGCTCACCACCACAGCTAGCACTCGGCCCAATGCCCGGCGTACGGCAGGGCCCAGTACATACTTGTGGAATGAATGGATGGATGGGCAGGCAGCCAAGCACTTCAGCCCCCTCCCCTCCAGTCTGCAGTCCCCGGCTTTTCTGCCCCCAGCCCAGGGGGCACAGGAAGCATCCTCCAGCCCCCAAGTTTACTTACATGTTTCAACTAGAGTTGCCCAAAGAGGTACCAGGAGAGGGATTTGGCTTCTATTCCCTGGAAAAGGAATCCCGAGCTTGGTCAAATACCAATTGGATTCCATCAACAAAGAAATGAAATCACATTGTACAAAAGACCATAACCCTATGGATAGAGGCAGGGGCTGAGTTTCTGTGAAAAGGAACATCTCGCAGGTAACACAACAGGTGTCCTGTACAAAGAACAGCATTTCTGGGATCCTCACCACATGCCTACAGTTAGCTTTAGTCCCCGAGCTACTTAGGAGGTGTGTACAATTGTCCTATTCACAGGCAGAGCAGCTGAAAACTAAAGCAGGCCTTTTGCTCAAAGGCACATAAAGGTTGGTGGCAGAGCTGGAATCCATGTCTGCCCAGCATCAAGAGGCTGGTGCCCCTAAATGTCATGCTACAGCTGGGTGCGGTGGCTCATGTCTGTAGTCCCAGCTACAGGACTACAGGGAGGCTGACGTGGAAGGATCACTTGAGCCCAGGAGTTTGAGTCCAGCCTGGGCAACATAGTGAGAACTCGTCTTTAAAAAAAAAAGAAATAAAATAAAATAAAATAAAAATGCTGTGCTAACCTGCCTTCATCCTCTGGCTCCGTGCAGGAAGGAGACCAGTGGTCTCTTTCTTACTTTAGGTTTGGCAAGGCCCAAGGTCACGTTCCATAATAGGTGGGTGTTCTGGGCAAAACACTGACAACTTATGATGTTCTCAGCAAAATTTTTGGAGAATGTGAATAAGAAGCATAAGACAGACAAGACAGACAAGTATTTCATTTCTTTATTAATAAGTCAAGATACACAAAGACCTAATAAAAAGTTACATAAAAGGCTCAAGCATCATTGAGATCTTCAGGGATCACTCTCGTTTCACGACAATGGCCACCTGTTAATACTGTGAAACAAGCTGGGCGCTCACAGGCGCTCAATAATTCAAGTATCTTTCATTCTAAGTGAATCCAAAATGGAATTTCAAACCCAATGGGCTGCCAAAGGGAGGAAACCTGTTTATGGCTCTACATTTGCTGTAACATGTCTAAGGGGCAATAGGGTTAGAGTTGCCACGTGAGAGTGGGCCTCATCTGGTAAAGGGAGATAGCCCCCACTAGGCCAACATGAGAAGGTGGTGGGCAAAGTGCTAAGAGAAACTCTCCAAGCATCTCGTGTAGCAAGGTGTGTGGGAAGCAAGTGGCCATGGGCTCAGGCTGTGGGGATGGGGAGGGTGGCTAGGATGACCTCTGGGGAGACAAGCAGCCCTCCAAGGAGGGTTTCAGAATGATGAAGGAAATCTGAGAGCACACAATGGCAAAGGCATGGGGTGAGGGGATTTCAGGAAGAGTGTGCTCCAGGGGACCTGAAGGTAGCACTATTCTCTGGAAAACCAGTAGGAACATGAGAATGTCAACACTGGGCTCCTGGGTCATGGTGTTGCATGGCCAACCAGGTTCCCCAGACTGACCCTCCTAGGCGATGATGGAGAAGATGCCCCAGGGTACACTCTACTCTGGCCTATCTGGAAGCTGCCTCTGTCACCAGGGCCCAGATCTAAAAATGGCATCGTTTACCCATCTCACCTCTGGTGAAAATGAGGTCATGGGAGAAGAAAGCTTACTGTCAGCCCAACAGCTGCAGAAGGCCAACCCTTAACCAGTCTCCCCTTGGGCACAGCTTAACTGTGGAGTTAAGCTTTGGGCCAAGGCAGGATAGATGCACAGACGCGGCACCCCTTCTGCAGGAGGGGCCAAGAGTGGTTGGGACCCAAATGTCTGGCTACCTATATGGCTGAGGGCTTCGTTCTAGGTTGCCCGATCTGCTTCCAGTAAGACCCCCCTCAGTGCTGGCAGGGAGACGCAGCTCCACAGTGAGCAGGGCGTGGGCTGGTGGGGGCTGGTGCTGCCGCAAGTTTTCCAGCAGTGGACGCCACCCTGTGCAGGGCTTTCTGTCCCCCTCCACCAGGCTCTCGATTCGAAGCCTCTCCATCCTCACTGCTGCCCACCTGCTTTCCCTCCTCCGCACCTCCAGTTTGCAGCTGCTGCAGAACTGCACTCGTGCCTGCCACAGTCGCAGCTTAGGGGAGCATGAGGGTTGGTTAGAGCCTTGTCCTTTTAGTGTTTAAAATACCTATGTTACAGGATCTTGGAAAACTCTGAAGCGCCTCATCTGGAATGTTCTCTCTTATCCTTCCTTTTAGGAATTAAAAAAGGAGACATTTAGACAAATAAGAAGTTTGATTTCCAACTAACGAGTCTCAACTGTTTCCTTCTGTGGCAGAACCACTCCTCGGCTGGGCCCCTCGGCGCTGGTGACCTCGCTGAGTTAGGGATTCGGCACATCTCAGAACCGGAGAAGAATCCAAGTGTCCTGACATCCATCTGGGTGACTGCTTTCCTCGGGATTCTTTCTCCAGAGTGGCCAGGCCACTTGCTGGGGATGTTCCTGTCTGCACAGTGACCTGATTTGTAACATCTGGAAAATAAGGTCACTAGCTGTGTCACCTCATCTTTTGACTTTCTCTCAGGGGTCCAGTGTTGTTCCTGCTGCCCTTCCACCCCGACCCTCACTGGAAAAAAACAGGCTTTGGCTCACAGCAGCAGCAGCACCAGAGAGGGCAGTGGGCCTCCCAGGGGGTTGGGGGACCGTCCCCTTGCAGAAGGTGTCTGGGAGCCACGCTATCAGCCCACCTTCCTTTCTCCTCTGAGTGTGTGATAGTCAAGATCCAACAGGTTAATAAAAAAGGCAACCTAATACTAAGTTTGCAAATACTGGAAGGTTTTTGCTCATTTACTGGGCTTATATGGGTGGTGGACTGTTGACTCAAAGGGGAAATGGCTTCAGGTGTTGGTGCTGTTTTAGTGATAACAGTACTGAATCGTGTTTGGTTAAGATTCGGCATGAACTAGAGTTTTCTGGATGGTGTCCACATGAGCTTACCTTGATGTGTCAATGTGTTTGTATCAGAGAGGCACCAAGTAGCACAGGTGATATGAGAAATCAGTAAGAGACAGATTGGAGAAACCCTCTCAGACATCTGGGAAGAACTCAGAACTTAACCTACACTGTCTGAAAAATCAACACTTTTGCACAGCCAATCAGCCCACTTTATACATTTCCAGAATAGTGAAAACCCCTTTTAGAACTGACATGCTTGTGCCAGTCACTCCCTTCAGCAAAATAAAATCCTGTTTTCTAATGTCTGCATCCTCAATCATAGCAAAACATCCAGGTAAGCACATCTCTCTCCTCTCCAGTTTCTAGGCCACAAGTAGGGTCTGTTTCCCTCCAGCCACCGTCCCCGTTAACTTCTGTCATCTCTGTCACTCTACTTTCACACGGAGCTGAGTTTTGGCACTGCTGGGAAAACTCAGTTGAAAAAAAAAAAAAAAACAATAATATTCCAGACATATGACCAGAGAGGTCTGCTGGAAACCTGAAGCTTCACCAGGCAGTGGGTCAGGACCCTTTTAATAAAATAACAATCACTAAAATAATTTAAAAATCTACAAATACACCCAAGCTCAGATACTGTGGACTTGGGGGCAAGGGAAGGAGGCTTGTTCATGGCTTATTTTGTACTTTGTATGTGGATAAATGCTTCCACATTAAATCATCGCTACGTAGTTAAAAGAAACAACACACCCACCAAGACAGGGAGGAACCAGATGGAACCGATACATGGGGGACTTGGAAATGCTGCTTCTGCTTACGGGTGGCTTCCTTGTCCCTTGTGAGGGACGGGAAAGCCTGAGGCCTCTGGGCAAAGCCAGTCCCTCTCTGTTCCCTGCCCACCCTCCCCTTCTCCCTTCCTGTGCCAAGGGTGGTGGTTAGAAATGGTTCAGTGCAGTTAGGCAGCGAAGGGTCCCGAGGGCTGCAGGCCACTGTTACTGTGCCCCGGGCTCGTCACAAGATCGCGCACTGCAGTTTGTGGGTGCCAGTGGCCCGGTCTCCCCGCCATTTGGTTTTCTTTTTCTTCTTCTGGCTTTTTTCTGGAATCTGTTGCCTTTTGAAACAATAAAGGACAGAAGGGCAAAGTCAGAAGGGGTTTTGCTTCTGCTCTGCCCTTCCCTGCTGAGCCCTGGATCTGCGGCAGACGCTGCGCGTTCTGGCAGGGGTGGCGGGCGGGGAGGGCTCAGAGGTGCTGCTGTCCCGGCAGGAGGAGGGCCTGGCCGACAGCATCTACTGAACAGTGAAACTGGGAGGGAGAGGAGGGACACCCTTAAATCACCCCATGGATGGGAATTGCTGACATGATGCTATGCTGTAAATCATAAGCAACATCATGTTCTATGTTTTATGCAGTTTTGGCCTCTGTTTCTGTGTTTCATATTTTAAATAAAATGACGGGTCAACTGAGTGCAAAACCCTTTAACTTTTTCTCTGTCGAAAACCTGCCCTTGGAACTGCAGAGGTCCACACCCAGGCAACAGCACAGGCTACGCAGCAGTGGCGTATCTTAAGGGGGCAAATGCCCCAGGGAAAGTCAGCTCAGGAGTGCAAAACTGCAACCACAGAAAGTGAAGACTGCGGTGTTCCCCACTATGCTGGGGAATAATGAGAAGAAAACAAGCTCGCTGCGTGTGTGTGGGGCTGGGGGGTGGCAAATAGGGAAGGACCCTGTCAGAGCCCTGGCTCTGATTTCACACCTCGCCAGCACCCCTCCGAGTTGCCAGCATAAGGCGCACGCTGCCTTATGGTGTCTGAGAACGCTGCGTGGGCTGCTCTGCGTGTTGAATCTGGGAAACGGGAGGGGTGGGCAGCAAGGGACACGGCCAGGAGGCTGTTTCAGACACCAGCACATGAGGTGACCAAGGTCTGGCCCCTGACCATGCAAAGGAACTCACTAGGACTGCTGACAATACTTGGACAGTGTGTGGGGGTCTGGAAAGGACAGGTGCCATGCCTCTGAAATTTGAGCCCCGGAATCAAAAGTTTGGTTGTTGAGGGGAAATGTCCAAGGGCAGGGAAGAGGGAAGGCATCTACTTTGTACCGCGTTGAAAGCTCCGGTGTGGGGAGAACACTGCAGACGGGCTGGAGGGGGCTGCCTGCCAGGGAGTCTGAGCCGCTGCCCCAGGCAGGAAGGCACGGCCACTCAGCAGTGTGCAGCAGACCGCACCTACACGCCTCTTTGTGGTTGGGCAGAGGAGGATGGAAAGGGCAAGGGAAAGAAATGGAGGGAGGGACAAGAAACCCCAAACCAGGCCCAGGGCTGCCCATGGCCTCAGAGCAGGAGCTGCATCCCGTAAGCCCTGCAGCTGCTGCAGGGCTCCTTTCTAGGGTGGTGGCGTCACTCACCTAATGACTCTGACGAGGTCATGGAAGGCCTTGTCCACGTTGAGAGGTGGGTCCTTGGCACTGGTTTCTATGTACGGGATCTGGAAGGCAGAGCTCACTCAGTCAAAGTGACCCTTTGAGGTTTCCAGAGCCCTGCACCGCCCTTAGAAATTCTCAGAGGTTCTGAGGAAGCCAGCTGCTTTCAAAGCCCCCCACACAGCCCCTGACCCCCAACAGCCTCAAGACGCCTTTGGTGGCTTCTCAGTCAGTAGCGTTGGAAAGTTTTACTAATGGCTTTTCTAATTCCCTCTTGTTCTCTAATCACAGAGATATTTAATAATTCCCTAAAAATAGAATAAAAATGATCTTTTTATATACTTGAAGATGAAAAAGGCTGTTTCACCCATCAAACTGAAATACATTCTGATCCTATTCAGTTTTCTCTCTGAGCCCTGTTTCTCTGCCTCTCGGTGACTTCTGCCCTCTCTCTGGGCCCCTCCAGGGGGGGACTCTGGCGGGAGAGGCTGAGGACAGGCCGGGCCCGGGCAGGACTCTGACCCGGGTGAGCCTGGCTACTGCGTGCCGGCCGCCACCCCCGACGAGCCCGCCGGCCCAGCTCTTGTTTGGTCTGTGTCTGCGCGCCCGGGCGCTCGGCCATGTTTACACGAGGTTCTGTCTGCACCGTGAGCGCTGAGGAAGCACCGCCGGCCCAAAGGGAGCAGCACATGGGGAGCCGTGACCAAGGTGACCCCGTCGGAGGAGTTTCCAGGCCCACGTCTACACCGAGCCGTGGGCTGGCACAGGGAGGAGAACAAAGGCTCCATGAGGCCAGGACACACTCCCCAGCGCTCATCCCTCCCACGGCAGGGCCCACACAAAGGCAGGAAGTGCTCACGCCCCGCGTGTGGGGGGCTCAGGAAGAACGCACAGGTGTGAAGAAAATAAAGATGATTGACACTTAAAATGCACGGGGGAGGGGGACAGAGTTGGTGTTTTAGAGGAGAATGCTGTAAGTCACTGGTCAGAGCACAGTGTCTCCCGTCCCCCGTCACCGCGTGCAGTCAGATGTTCACACATTGCCGCGGCTTCACAGAGCTCTCGCAGCCAACAGACACATGGGGACAGAGCAAGCGCAAAGGCAGAGCTCGGACCTTCCAAATACTTGAGCCTCAGATAACACCGCATAGAAACGGCCCACACGCAGGGCTGTCTGTCTGACTGTGGGCTGTTTGGATTTCCGGGTCCCAATGTCTCTGATGTCATGTAATCCTCACATTAACCCCTGGGGTCAGTGAGCCTCTCCATTCCGCAGCTGGGGAGGCCGAGCTCAGAGCGAGGCACTTGCCCAAGGTCGACAGCGGCTGGCGGAGAATCAGGGTTTGAACCACGCACACTTTCCGCTTCTCCTCCGGGCCCCTTGTGGACAGGTGGGGGGTGCTGAGGTCAGCTTGGGAGCCCTTCAGGCTGGACACCATGTCCAGGTATGGAAGATGCTCCTGATAAGCGGCTGGTAGAGTCCTGTGAGGTCAGGACCATGCGCTGCCCTGTGCGCATCCGTAAGGGGCGCAGGGAAGGACCCGCAGCTGGAGCTGGGCCTACGTGGAGCCCCGTCACATCCTATGCTCCTGCCAGCTCAGGCACGCCCAGTTCCAGGGGTCTCAGAGCACTGCTGCCTGTGGACCCACCCCATCACTCAAAAGAACCTGAGTTGTAGTATCCCCCAGGTCCCCAGACACCTTCCATCTTCTTTCCGGGTGTCCTGCCTCTACCACTGAAGAAGCACTAATGTGCATTATCTGGATTCTTAGAATTCCAGGATTTCAATAGCAACAAGACTTAAATAAGGGAAACCCTGCAATGACTAGTGGTATCATTAAACTCCACCAAAGGGCTAGGAAATGCCATCTTCCTGCATTAGGTGGAGTGACTTGTCTTAGCTAAAGAGGAGTTTACCTTATAAGCTATAAAATCAGGTGTCACTAATAGTAGCTTACAAAGTCATTTGGTCAAGTGACAAATGGAGCAGCAGCATTAGCTATAGCAGCATTAGGCTGAGAGGCTGGAGACCTGGGTACTAGTATGTGTGGGGGTATCATAGGCTGTGAGCCCCCCAAAGTCACTTAACCTCCTGTGTCTCATTCTCTTTGTTTATAACATGAGGCTGCTGCCGCCTGTGCAGCACCCCTGCCCCCCAGGGCTGCGGGAAGGGACACTGAGAGGGTGTGTGTGAAAGCCCTTGGCAAACCCCCTCTGCTCAGCGGGACTGGTCATTTACAGAGCCCAGCTCCCCTGGCCTGTCTCTGCTCGGGACGTCAGACACCATGTATGCTCCACAAGGCCGGTTTCCTATGCTAGACCTGGGTCAGTGCCTGGGCCTCGTCTGGAGACTTCTGAGCAGCTCCCGTCTTGGCCAACCACTTCTCCTCCTTGAGGCATCTTCTCTACATGGCTCCCAGAACCCCCCACTTGGGTCCTCACACCCCACTGATGTCTTGGCTCGTCTCCCTTGTGATTCCTCTTCATCTGCCCACACCATGACACGGAAGGGCCCCCACCCCCTCCCTGCCTGTGCGTGCTCCCTTGGGTCTCATGGCTTCACACTCCACCTACCCGCTGGTAATGTCCCATGTTTACCTGCAGACAGGTACAAGTGACTGCTGTCCTAACTGCTCCATGCGATTATCCACCAGGCTCCTCAAACTGAAGGGACCACAAGCAGCTCCTGCTCCTTCCTCCCACACTTACTCTGACAGTCCTTCCCTGCTCAGTTACTGGAACTCCGATCTCCTGAACGTTGCTCGTGTCCGAACCTTGGATTCATCCTCAATTCTCTTTCTCTCACCCCACAGCCAATCTGTGAGCAAATCCTGCTAGTTCTGTTTGAAACACAGCTGGAGTCCAACCTGTCCTCACCACACCTTTGTCCTCACCACACCTTCAGGAGCCCCACACTGGCCCCGGTCAGCCTGCACTGGGGTCACTGTGCAGCCAGGACTGGTCTCCCTGCTCTCGCCTTTGCCCCCACAGACTGTTCTCCATGCGGCCACCAGGGAGCTGTTGCAAGGTAGGTCAGACCCTGTCACTCTGCACTCAGCACCCTGCTGTGGTTTCCTTTCTCCCTGAGAGTGAAAGCCCGGGAGACCTCACACCACCTCTCTGCCCTCGCCTCCCACTGCTCACCCTCCTGCTCCCCCTGCTGGAACTTTCCTTCTCCAGATACCTGCACGGCTTACTCCCGTACCTCTGTAAGCCCTTGCCAAAGCGGACCTTTCCCAGCAAGGCCTCCCCTGCCTGGCCATCTACTTGGGAAAGCATGTCCCCGACCACGCATTCCCCATCCCCTGCCCTGGCTTACTTGTTTCCATCGCACATCACTTTTCGATGCTAATTTGCTCTGCTTATTGTCCCCTCTCCTGTCACTAGAAGTAAGCACCATGAGGCAGGGAGTATTGTTTCCCAGGGCCTGGAACCGCTGAATGAGTGAGTGAGTGAACACAGAAGGCAGGGACAGGCACAACTCCCCCCTGTATGCCCTCCTCCTCCACCCACAGGACGGGGTCCCTGGGCCGAGGGGACGGGCGCCTGGCAGTAGGGAGCCGGCAGAGAGAACTTGGGCACGACTGACCCCAGCAGGCCAGAGCCACATGCTGAGCCAATTCAGGGAGGAGGAGGAAGCCCAGAGACCCCACCTAGCATCCTCCAGCGGGCAAAACTGGAAAAACAAACAAAGACGGCTGCTGACACGTGCCGTGGGCCTGGGGGGCACCTCAGGTTGATCCCGTGGCAAATGCGGACGCTCCCTACCGCGGGCGTGGCTGTGAGCAGTGGTGAGAGGCTGTGAGGCTGCGTTCCCGCTCCCTTAGCACAAGGCCGCTGGGCACAGTGCGGGGCTCGGAGAGCAGCGGCTGCCCCTGATGATGGTGAGCACAGCCAGGCGGCAGCTCAGAGAAGCCCGCAGGAGCCAACCCCGCTGCGCGGCCCAGTGAGGAAGCCATGGCACCTGGGCGGGGCTGACGGCCCTTGGCCAGGGGGTGGGCTGAACACCACAGCCTCCAGTCCACTGGAAGGCACCCGGACCCCACATCAGAGCCCCTAGAAACTGACAGAAAGTGCTTTCTCTGGTCTATGACTCCAACGTATCCCCCATCACATATGCCCCCCCACGCCCCCAGAGGCCACTGTGTGCCGTCCGGATGGCTACCCAGGAGGCCCGAGTCCATTTCTGGAGACCAGGACTGCAGGGGTGACGGGCTATCAACTTTCACACGTCCCCTGACCCCCCGACACACACACACACACACACACACACCTACATTGTATTTTGTTGCCATTTCTTTTCCTTGCTCCCTGGTGATTTTCCTCAAGTGCATCAGATCGACCTTGTTGGCCACAAGGATCATCGGGAATGACTCCCTGGGAAACAAAGGAACAGAAGCTCAGTGAGGTTTCACCCCCCACCCACCTGGTGACAGTGGGGCAGCGACACCTCAGGCATACACAGCCCCCCGACCCCTCCCCAGGTGGCCGGGCTGCTGTTGCTTCTGAGCTTCTCCTCTCCAAAGAGAGGGAAGGGCCTGGAGGCTGCTGGCTGGCTTGGCTTAAAGCCTCCGGCCTGTCGCAAGGCCAGCAGTGAGGTCTGGGGGGGGGGGTGCGGTGCTAGCCAGGCCCTGGCTCCCCAGACCTGGTTCCCTCCTCTCGGTCACTCAGATGTACCAACCCTGCGGGGCTGCTGTGGCCTCTGTGACCACTTGCAAAGAGCAGCAGGGCCATGCCTGGCTCACAGCGGGCACAGGGCAAACAGCAGCCGCACAATGGGGTCCAGACGTGAGGCCGTCTTAAAGACGCTTATTGACGTACGTGGCCAAACTGCTGTCCAAAAGTGAGTGAAACAACGGTCTCACAGCATCTTTGGCTGCGCTGGATATTTCCATTTAAAAAATCATAATTTGACAAGTAAAAAATGATACTTTATTATTTTCCTTACATTTATTTGATTAGCAAGAAAGCTGAATATTTTCCAACATCTGAGGCATTTATGTTTTCTCTTTTGAGATTCATATATTCAGGGGCTTAAGCCATTAATCTGTTGAATCTTTATGTGTATATATGTGTGTATGTCCCTTTACCTGGCAAAGTTATTAACACTTTGCCTTTGGAATAGGTGTTAACTGGATTTTTCTGTCTTTACTGGGATCTGTTCAAAGCTTGCTGTTTTCCTATTATTTCTTTGTCCTTTCATTTTCTTGACATTGCCTCTTTTAGATCCAATTAACTGACAAGACCAGTTGGGTTTAAAACAGGCTCCAGATTATTTAATTACTCCACATAATGCTAAAAAAAAATGAGCCTTTAATTAGGGGCTTACAGCCTCATAGTCAAATGGGATTTAACCAATTACAATGCATACTGGAGAGAAAATTCACTTTTCCTTTGAACATAATATAATTTGGTTAAATTGGAGTTGAAAAACCAAGATGTCACTGATGATTCCTTGATTGAGGGGGCAGTTTAGGAGAGAGAGGAGAGAGTGACCCCTTGAAGCCTTGGATACAGTTTGTCCCCTAGAAAGAACTAGGGTAGGTGCAGGAAGAACTAACAGGGAGAGAATTCAGTGAGGTGTGTGTGTGTGTGTGTGTGTGTGTGTGTGTGTGTGAGAGAGAGAGAGAGAGAGAGAGAGAGAGAGAGAGAGAGAGAGAGAGAGAGAGAGAAAGATTGACAGGGCCCAGATCCCCTCTGAGCCAAGAGCAGGGACGCCCTGCCCCAGGCCCTCACCTGTCCTTGACACGCAGGATGAGCTGGTGGAAGCGGTCCACGTGCTCGAAGCTGGCCTTGTCGGTGACAGAGTAGACGATGAGGAAGCCGTCCCCTGTGCGCATGTACTGCTCCCGCATGGCGCTGAACTCCTCCTGCCCGGCTGTGTCCAGAACTAGGGTGGGATGAGGCCACTCAGGGGCTGTCCCTGCCCACCCTGGAGCCCCCATGGCTGCAGACCCCGTGCTGCTGCTGTCCCCACTGCGGCTGGGTCCCAGTCACCACGAGCTCCCTGGGGCTGTAAACGGCCTGAGGGGGGGCTTCCGCCACCCAAAGTCTGTGTCAGTGTGAGGTTCTACCTGACTCATTGTGGGCCCACCAAACCCTTCTCCCCACTTTCAACCCATGGTGCTCACTGGGCCTAAACGCTCAGCCTACAGACAAGCCTCAGGAAGTCAGTGATCAACTCTGCAACTAAACCCCTCTGGGGAGTACCCAGACCCAGGCTTGGATCCCTGCTGCGGCCCTTGCAAACTGATTCCATGGGAAGTTACCTGACTCTGAGGCTCCATTTCCTCCTCTAAAAATGCAACTGTTGCAGCCCCTTGGGGGCCGCCTCTAGCTTGCAGAGCTTTCGTGCAGACGTGCCTGGGGGAGCACAGAAGAGGCCATCCCAGGCAGGAGCCCATCTCGAGCTCCTCAGCCCCTGCAGGACAGATACCAAGTGGGCCTTGGGGAAGGAGTGGCCCCTCGGCAGCCAGGGGCACTCACCGCCTAGAAGGGGGCTGTCATGGGCTTGGGCCTGGAAGCAGGGTGCTGGGGAGAAAGAAGCTAGGAGGACCACCTCAGCCGAGGCTCCTCCCCATCCTGCCCAGCTATGGACTCCTGCCACTCACCTTCCTCCCTGCTGAGGTACAGTGCTCCCCTCTGCTCACTGCCAGCTGTGCAGGCCTGACCCCTCCCGTCCCCCAGGGCCATGAAGTCTGAACCTGCAGCATCCCCCAGCTTCTGCTCAGGGTGCGGCTCCCCTCCCTCCTCCAGCAACCTCTACTGTCTGATCAGACCCACATGTCCCTTCTCCTCGGAGGCGGTGGAGTGAGTGGTTACAGATTTTGGAGCCAGACCACTAGGCCAAGTGTGGCTCCCCATTCCTAGGGGGTGACCCTGGGCAAGCTCACCTCTCTGTGACTACGTTTCCTAACACAGGGACAGCCAAGGCTGTTTTGAGTTGTTACAGGCAATGCCCTTGAGCAGTGACCGGCACAGAGAAGTTCTGTAGGAGGGTCTGCTGTGAGCCTGCCACCCTCACCTGGGGTCTTCTCTCCCCCTCGGCTACCTTCCCCGCCTGGGGCTCCTTACTCCAACTCCTGCTCTCCCCTTCTCCCCTGGCCTTGCCGAGCCGACTCGCATCAGCATTCTGCTGCCAGAGCCCCCAAGGACTCTCCCCAACCCCTACCGACCTTTCTTGGCACAACATAGCTGGTTGGAGGGTCGCTGGCAGAAGTTGGTGTCCTTTTGGATAGAAATGGAGGGCCTCTCTCAGGTGACAGCTGAGCAGTGACTAAATAAGGGAGGGAGGGAGCCACGTGATGTAGCAGAAGGGCACCCCAGGCAGAGGGAACAGCACAAATCGAAGGCTCAGAGGTGGAGCAGAGGTGGAGGTGTGCCAGGGCAGGCCTGGAGGGCTAAGGGGAGGAGGGGAGGGGCATGGAGTAGAGGTGGAGGGGGCAGGTCACAGGGCCTGGAGCACTGAACAAGCAAGATGGGGGCCACTGCAGAGTTTGGGCAAAGGACTGGCACGCTGTGGAGTACATCCTGAAAGGTTCACTCTGCTTGCTGGGGAAAACAGACTAAGAGTGGAAGCAGGGGACTGGTTAGAAGGCTAGTGCAACAATCCAGGCGTGGCATGTTGCAGGGCTGCACCAAGGGTGCTGTGGGAGGCGACCTGGTCCAGGCCACTTTCTAAGACAGAGCCAACAGGGGCAGGGCTTTCTGGAGGAAAATGTGGGGAGAGGGGGATGACAGCCAGCGGCTTTGAGGACGATGCCTGTGTCTGGCCTGAATGCCCGGTGGACGGTGGTGCCACATACTGAGGTGGGGAAGGCTGGGCGAGAAACAGGGTCTGGAGGGCTCTGTTTCTGACACAGGCCTAGAACCCATCAGACACGTATATGGTACTTCCAGCAGACATTTGTGGACATAAGTCAGACAAGAGACTAGAAGAGGGGGCAAGAGGCATAGATGTGGGAGTTGCCAGGGTATGTGGTTGGCAAGGAAAGCCACAGGAGGACACCCGGGAATGCGTATCTCCTTAGGCAGGCACCTTATTTATTTACATTTTTTTCCCCTGAGACAGAGTCTCACTCTGTCGCCCTGGGTAGAGTACCATGGTGTCATCATAGCTCACTGCAACCTGAACCTCCTGGGCTCAAGTGATCCTCCTGCCTCAGCCTCCTGAGTAGCTGGAACTACGGGTGTGCACCACCACGCCTGGCTAATTTTGTCTATTTTTAATAGAGATGGGGCCTCACTCTTGCTCAGGCTGGTCTCAAACTCCTGAGCTCAAGTGATCCCCTTGCCTCAGCCTCCCAGAGTGCTAGGATTATAGGCAGGAGCCACCGCGCCCTGCCAGGCAGGTACCTTAGACATGCCCAAGAAAGTGACCTATCCCCACGGCTTGTCAGTGCTGCCCGTCCCCCAGAGTCATTCAGCACTTCAGAGGCACAACTGGTGGACGTGAGGACCCAAGATGTGCCCCTGACGCAAGAGCATTTCGTGGCTATTCTAGTGTGTTCCCTGGGCCTCCGTCTCCTGAGGGAAATGGGGCAAGGTGCTTTGGGACCTTCAGGCCCTTGCAGCTCTGACTTCCTGGAACTGGTTCATCTGGGTGTAAAACGAAGAGGCCAAGAAGACAGGACCAGCTAAAGGCCACCGGATGACTGAGGCAGTTTCCCCAGTATTTCCCAGGGATGCACCTTCAATCAGAGGGAGCGTGGCCTTATTTTCCTAAAAAAAAATTTCCACCCAGAACTGCAATCAATAAAACAGATAAAAATGGCATGAATTTGGCTGAAGCAGGGATGGGAAGGTATGAACTGAATAGCAGAATACATTAAGGTAATATTGTAATTAATATATTTACAGATTTTAAAGGTATATATTATCCAAAACAAAAACAGACATCTAGGATATTTAAAAATATCATTCAAAAAAATTTTTTTAAAACTCAATAAAGAGCTGAAAATCAAAATGGGCCTTGTAGAAAGGTAAAATAGTCATTGTAGGCACTGAAGGTCTTAGAAATTATATTACCCATGCTTTCTAAAAGAATTCTTGAAGGATGTACTCCAGCAAAGTAAAAAATAAATACATGAAAAAGATGAGTGGTATTACAGTGGTAAGCAAAGAAAACAGAAAAACAGAACAGTTATGTTTAAATAAATATTATATAATTTGAAGAAAATGAATGATAATTTAGAACTAAAATCTCTGATGACCCATGTGTGAGGGTAGGAGCTGGGAAAAAGTAAGTTACTTGTTAAGTTCCTGCTTCAGTTGAGAAGAGGCTAAAGACCCTGATTGCACCCAGATGCTAACAGAAAAATATAAGTAAACACATGTCTGTATATAGCATAACCACCAGAAAAACAGAAATAAAACCCCAAACTTGCTAATCAATAGAGGAAAGAAAAACAGAACAAGTAAATGAAACCAATCCAACAAAAGGCAAAAATAAGCTTAACAAAAATAAGCAAGTATAATAAAAAGTAGACATAAAACAATCTGGCAGAAATAAATCTAACTATGATTAATTACAGTAAATGCAAATGGGTTAAGTTTACTTATTAAAAGAAGATACTTAATACAAAATTCATTTGTCTGCTACTTACAAAACATGCATTAGAAAGCAAAGTGACACAGAAAGAGTGAAAAAAGGAAGGATAAAAAAGAATATATTAGTTACATGCTAAGCAAAAGAAAAGAAGTACACCCATAAAACAGAATTCAAGGCCAAATCATTAAACAGGGCAAAGACAGGGTATTTATAGTGGGAGAAGGTACAAGTGTCAAGAAATACCAAAGTCATGAATCATAAGCATCTAAGAACATTGCTTAAAAATATACTAATATATGTAAGTAGGGCACGGTGTTACACCTGTAGTCCCAGCGACTTGGGAAACTGAGGTGGGAGGATCACTTGAGGCCAAGAGTTCAGCCTGGGCAACACAGTGAGACCCTATCTCTTAATAAACAAACAAACTGATTTTTAAACAGTAGGGGCTGACAGACCCTATAATATCATGGAAGACTTGAACAGGTCTTAAAGATAGAACAAATAGCTTCCAAAAGGACTCATCTGTCATTAAATAATACAATTTAAAAACTTAATCTTAGAGACGAGAGAACTTTATATTCAAACAATGAATAAGCATTTATTTTTTTTTGAGACAAAGAGTCTCACTCTGTTGCCCCACATAGAGTGCCGTGGCATCAGCCTAGCTCACAGCAACCTCAAACTCCTGGGCTAATGTGATCCTTCTGCCTCAGCCTCAGCTGGGACTACAGGCATGTGCCACCATGCCCAGCTAATTCTTTCTATATATTTTTAGTTGGACAATTAATTCCTTTCTATATTTAGTAGAGATGGGGTCTCACTCTTGCCTCAGGCTGGTTTCGAACTCCTGACCTTGAGCTATCCTCCCTCCTCGGCCTCCCAGAGTGCTAGGATTACAGGCGTGAGCCACCAAGCCAGCCATGAATAAGCATTTTTAAACAAATGAACTATATTGGCCATATATGAGGCTATAAATAAAAATCTCAACAAATGCTAAAAAGTAGAAATCATGTATTTTATGTTTTACCTATACAGGTTGATTATACCTTATTCAAAATGCTTGGGACCAGTAGTGTTTTAGATTTTGGAATATTTGCATATACATAATGAACCATCCTGGGGATGGGACCCAAATCTAAACATGAAATTCATTTATGTTTCATATATAGCTTACATACATAGCCTGAAGATAATTTCATACAATATTTTTAATAATTTTGCACACAAAATAAAGTTTGTGTTAAGTACTTATGTGTGGAATTTTCCACTGCGGCACCATGTAAGTGCTCAAAAAGCTTCAGATTTTGGAGCACTTCAGATTTCAGATTTTTCGATAAGGG